AGTGGTGGTGGTGATGGTACATTCAGCGGGGTGATGAACCAGCGGTCTCACGTGACAAGGGGGGAGGTGCGCTGAAAGCTCCGAGGACAGGGTTATTGGACGTGAATCAACACGATTCACTACAAAAGCAGTCTAGACTATTTGAAAGCTAAACACAACTATGAATTTAGCACTCAGGTTAAAATCGCATCAAGTCAGGCTAACCAAATGTGGTGGAAACGATTGCATTTCAGAGTTGACTCATGCTACAGAGGTGTCAGTCATAGCTGCCGAAGATACGCAAACGATACCCCACACACAACCACCCCTAATGTCCAACATGATTAGATTTCAACGCTAGCGATAAGAAAAGGCTTCTGTGGGTAAAAGTTTAAGAAAATGTGTCCTACGTCCAAACTAGCACAACGCGAACTAAAATCGCACCATATGAAACCGAACAAATGCACAACTAAGAACCGCATGTATTTTTAAGGCATAAAACTGTTCTCGACTTGAACACAAACATACGAACTGGTGCAGGTAAATGGAGTAGAACGGGCTAACAAAACGATGACGACGACGACGACGAAGCTACTCGACGACTACGTTGGCGTCGTGACGAGCATTGTGGTGTTATCACGACGGTTGATCATCTTCTGTCTCGCTGTCCGACGTGTAGCCAGGTTGTTCAGAGACATGCGGATGTCTGCATGAGGGGCGACAAAATCGAGATCCGCTGCTAAAACGAAAACGACAATTGCCCGACCCGTCATTGTTGCTTCTCGACTGACAAATCGCTTTGGAATTGGAGAGCACGCGACAACGCCATCTACGTAGAGAATGTGGCATCGAGGTGTCTTTCAACGAGAGGCCATCCAAACGATCACAAAGACTACCAACTTGCCCCTGACTCCTGCATAAAGCCCATTTGGGTTTATTTGCCGTCGCGAGCCAATGGTGAATATTGTCCACTATGTTCAGCAGCTTTTCAAGTGTCATGTTAGCATCTGCGGCGAGTTGCACACCATCGCGCATATCCATCGGCAGGTGTTGCGCCCATGAACGTCGCAGCGCTAGCTTCTGCGCGGTGTTTTGACCCACACCATGTAGCAGCTGCCAAAATAACTGAGACGGTTTCACATTGCCCACTTCTGCACGGGGCGGCTGGTATGGCACTAGCGCCAGCTCTGAACTCGCCGTCCATTTGGCAATGATGGCGGCTTTGAGTGTGTCGTAGGGGTTCTCAGCTGGCGCCTCGTCGATGAGATCGGCAACCGAACTGGCCACGAGTGGAGGCAGGAGTGGCGTCACAAGGCAATACATGGTTTTCTGGCACGTGATATTGTGAAGTTGGAATCGTTGTTCTACCGCATTGAACCACCCCACGACGTCGACTTGGCTGAAGGGAGGAAGATCGAGTGGGGTGTCGCAAGACTGCGACGCCTTGTCCTTATCCTTGTCGCCGGACATTCCTGTCTGTGTCCTTCAAATCACTGAATGTAGTGACTCCAACTATTCTCACTGTATTCTTGTGCCCCTGAATTTGCTCTGTATATATATCAACTCACCCTGAGTGCTTGTCTGTGATTTGACTACTAATAAGTCGAGAGATTTCAGTATAAGTTAAAGCTTGTCTTATAGGTGAATAGAGTAATTTACGCGGGGATAAACATCGTTTGGGAAGGGTCAGCAATTTAAGTTAATTATTATTTTGGACCGAGTCACATGAAGTGAAAGCAGGCGGAATTATTTCCGCAGTAAACAATTTTGTCAGTAGTATTGTCCCAAACGGAGGTCTCACTCGTTCGCCTTGTATATGCCTGATAAGTCATGCCTCATCTGATCCACGTGATAATGAAGTGCCCACAAATGCTCTTTTTTGATTGGTGGTAACTCGTAGTGGTGGTGATAGTGGCTGCGCTAATTCTGCCAACTTTTGTCTGAATGTTGATGGCCATGGCCCGGAATTCATGACCCGGAGATATCTCGCCGTCCGAATATGAGTGGGACCAGTAACAATGCATGGATATGCATGGAATATTGAATCGGGACCATAATATCGACAAATACCAGCAAATAATTCAAGGTTACCAATTACCGTTGTTTCTGCTATGTGTTCTCTACTACGCCAGGTCCACTGAATTCAATCTGACCTCGCCAACACGCGCCTTCCTCTTTTCTCCCCGTGATGGTGAGCCATTGGTGAATCTCATCCGCCATCGTCAGCAGTCTTTTGATTGGCGTGTTAGGACCAGCGACTGGCACAACTTCGCTTATTTCCATCGGCAGGCGCTGCGCCCACACCCGAAGCAGCAATGGATCCTGGTCCCTGGGTGTTTTGACGACACGAAACATTTGTTGAAATAGCTGAGACGGCGTGTGATTGCCCAGTTCCATGCCGGATAGCAGCTCTCGCAGTCGCATGTGCGCTGAACCCGTGGTTGTTCCGATAATGGCTGCTTTGAGTGTGTCGTAGGGCTGTGGACCTGGTTTCTCGTCTCGAAGAAGATGGATCACCAAACCAGCCACCAGTGGCGGGAGATGCAGCGCCACAACAAAATACTTGGCTATCTGGGACGCGATTCTGCAACGTCGAAACATCTGTTCCACCTCATTGAACCACCCGATGGTGTCGATGTGACTGAAGGAGGGAATCGCAATAATAGGAACGCTGCCATTGTCCTCGTTCATGTCAGACATTGTTACTTGGATCCGCTAGCAATAGAGTTGAGTGTGCACGACTGCCGAATTACTTCAGTTAACATTTATATAACATACTTCCTGAGTACTTATCAATCAGTGGTCTGCTGCCTTCACAAAATAAACTCATTCGGAACTGATTCGAGTGATTTTGACGGAACTCTGATCTTGTCTTGTCGACGGATGCATCAAGTAAATTGAAGCATATTTTGGAAATTAAGCGCCTGGAATAGAATCGGATTTGTTTTAGTACGAAGAACGAGTCACAAAGTGAAGAAGGACACGAAAATATCGAAATAGTGATCTGAATGAATCGAAACCGTCTCGACAAATGCTGAGATCCGTGTCAATCGTGTCGAAGTCTTATCCTGATCCGCATGACGCCGAAATGTCTACAAATGCTTCTTTCTATACGGCGGCAAATCAAAGCATCGAACGAAAACGAAAATGCCGACAACTTCAGCAGGAATCAGCATCATGTAAATTGCTAGCTATTCGCTTTCACTTTGAACTACCAATAAACCGTCATTTTGGACATAATTGCGTTGGCTCTTGAGAAACCACTTGTGTATTGTTAGTCGTTAGCTAGGTGCCATGTGATGGAAAATAGGTTGTATTTGCAATTGGTGAGGGAATGTTATAATTTTGCTTTCTTCAATTGCTAGTCTGAGTTCGTTTGGAGTAAAGTTGTTTTCTTTGTTTTCGTTTGAGTCCCGAAAGGGGGTTTCCGTTTTAAAGGCAAATAAACCCATTCTCGTGTCTTCTGGATGATTGTGTTTGTCAAAAATTGGTCAAAAAACAGCTTCACACGAAATTCCGCTTACAGGCACGTATGTTTCGAGCTTTGGATAATCAGAAGCTCCGAGTAATTAATCGAACAGATGGAAATAGCAGCTATGTCACGTTAAATGCTGCTAGGAGGAGAAAGCGCTCCGCATGACAGACACTGGGGAGGAAGTTCTTGAATATACGCCCCAAGTAAGGCTATCTGTACCGGGCATGGGAATATTTTTTGCGTTTCGCGTAGGCTTAAGTGCATGCAGTGCCAGTTAAGTGTCTTCCTCTGTATTTAAGCGCCTAATACATGACAATAAAAGGCATTGCTGCGTCATAAATAACTCAGTGTTGGAGGAACGACTATAGCAAGTGGCGATGACACTTTACAGTCTCGATTTTCCTTAAAATGGATGCTGACTCGAAGATACTGTTGTGAATCGTGTTTATTTACACCCCTTAACAGGTCGCTCCCCCTCCGACACAGGGTCCCTCTTATCGCAGCATGTCGCCAGCCGCTCGGATCCTCAACTCCCCACTCATTCACATGGATATTTATCTAGGGTTATCCTCACACCTAGGTCTCGATATTAGCGCAAGTATGACTCACATATCTGAGGTATAAATACACACGCGCAAACGCCACACACGACACCAACGTGGTTGAGCTCTGAAGTAAACGGTTTTATCCACGTCCTATCCGGTCTTTTTCTTCATCGCGGGTATCAGGGAAACGTAAACGGGTCGGGGTTAATTCCGTGGCCCCGACGTGGTTCAAGACCGCACCCGACAAGGTCAACACAACACCGTCTGACATCTATAGTTCCGATGTGTTTATTCAGGGCTGGTAATCACAATATTTCAATGCGAAAGAAATGGAAGAAGCGAGTGGCGTCGCCACTTCACAAACCCGCGAATTGCTGACATCGATGAGAACTCAGAGGTACACAGATAACAAGGTCAACAAACACCACAAAATCGCTAAATTTACGATTTTGAGTGGCAAGGCGCGTAAGAATGTGTGCGCATGTGAGACAGTGACAAGATGAGATCATGCCAGTAGTGAATTGTGGCGATTCACGTTCACCCGCACACACGTCACCTTTTCACGATTGGTTCGTGTGTTCTCATTCACCTTCCCCTCTCTGTGAGCCAACCGTTAATGCCGACTTTCCTCATCTTGGCCTTCCAGATATCTGTACTTTAACTACTTTACCTAGAGTGTATCAGTCATGCGCACACACGAACATATCTTTGGGCTGCAACAAGTCCCCACTATATGGGATTTCGACCAAACGATGATGAAACTGGTTTCTGAAAAACCACATAAACAACGTGATGGAAATAGTCGTTAAAAAATTACTGATGGGTATTAACCATGGTGAGAAAATCCAAGCATATTTATCGCCTCTGGTGCCTTGTTAATGCTGTAAACTGCGACCTCGAATCGAGTACTGAGCAAAGGGCTACTTAAGCACACATTCCGGTATTTTGATTGGATAGTCGATAAGGGGGGTGGGTCACCACATGAGGGCTGTTCGAGCTGTTGCCCCAACAGAGCCATATTGGTCGATATTAATCGGAGATTGATTAGGGGTGGCGTTGGAGGACATCAATGCGCCAAGTCATTGCCCTTGATTCGTAACTCGAAGTACGTAATCGAAAAGTACATATTCACAACAATCACCCAATCGATTTGCAGCACAAACTTTGGTTCAAGGTGACACAGCTGTCGCTCAACTGCCCGGATCTCAATGTGAGCAAAAATTTCTTCCCTGTTTCGCAAAGCCAAATCATTTGCTGTCTTGTGGAAGTTAGGTGACCAACTATTCTCGTAATTCGGTTATTGATTTTATCAATTAATGCAACACCCCCGATAATTGTGGGATTTATTTTATCTTCAAGGATCAATTTTTAGTGTAATCAAGATGGTCACTTTGGTTTTGCACTGCTAAACTAATTTTTTAGTTCATTTCACACAAACAAAACCTCTTTATCAGGTCGTTTTTTTACCCTAGCCAAGATTCCTAGTGGGATTTCAGGCTACCGTCAGCATTAGCAATAATGTAACCAATCAGGAGACAAGGAAGTTAATTAATTGGTTATTTTTGAATTAATTTTTGTCGGTTGATTTCTTCGTCGGTTTTTTTAGCAAGATCATTCGGCATGAGCTATTTCGAAATAGGGATGCTATCATTTACCACAAAACACGATCTCCTGACCGGTTAAATTACCACAACCCGGTTAAATGGTAAGTTTTGTTTGGTCGCCATCGCCTTAGGTTGGTCGACAGGAAAAATTTTGATGTGTTAAAAAGTCGCATTTAGTGAGCATCAGCAGTTTGCGGAGTAAATTTGTCATAAATATCCCCTTATGTACTCTACGTTGGACATAAGCCTGCAACATTCTTGTCAATTCGTTAATTAGTTCAGTTTAGTGACAAAATCCAGAGTACATCAATCGTCTGAGCGATCTTTCGGCCCAGGCAGTGTTCGAGAAAATCTCATGACCGGAAACATTGGTCACAAGATGTCATTTTGGCAGGAGCTAAGACACGTAAACTTTCCCAGTTTGTCACGGCGAAATAACAGCAGCTTTCGGCACAAATAAACTTCATTTTGCCTTTCTTCTCATTGTAAATGTCTCAGCAACCAATATTTACAAAATGTCGGTTCATTATAGCCTTCCGTTTTCGCGAAAACAGCGAACCGTATCGCCATTGGACAACCTGCTGCATTTTAAATTCGCGGCAATAAAGTTGTTGTTTAATTGGACTGCCTAATGATGTCTGGAGGAAGTTGCATATTAAAACAAGATACAATGCTAATGTCTTCCGCTGAGACGGATGTGATTAATTGCCTAAAGAATTTAATAAGTAGTTGAGGCACGCCTATAAGATGATATTATCGCGTCCATAATTATGCATACTACGCGTACACGCCCTGATTTAAACCGGAAATAAATGTGCCTTCGGAAAGAATGGTTCCTCCTAACCTTGGTAATTCCACTTCGACGCAACCAATATAATACATTGTTTGGTGACATTTTCTATTCGCAAACTGCTTCGAAGGCATCACCCTCACTGGACTGAATTAATCAAAATAATTTACCACGATTTGAGGCCAAAAGTTCACAAGAGTGGATGTTTCAAGGTGAAACCATGACCTTAACTGGAGGGGGCCATTTCCATTGGCCACTGTGTGCAATCATTAGAGGTGGCCGGGGGGCCAGTGTGGGTGAGTACTTTCTATATGAAAGTAGCGTTGGAGCACGTACAAATTAATTATTGTCCTTTTAATCTAATAAGACTAAAAAAATAAAAAAAAGTACAATGTGTTGTTGGCGGGAATAGTGTCAGGGCTGATTGAATTTGGGATTTCGAAAAAGTGATCTCTAGTGAGGCCAAGCCTTATCCTGGTGCCTAAAACATTCAATTTCCTGGTAGCTGATTAGTCCTCGTTAGCTAGTAACGAGCTTAAGTTTTGGCAACACCTTATCTCATTTCGTTGAACCAATGGTCTCTTAGGATTCTAAGAATAATTACCGTGAACATTGCTGTTGCTGGTGCATATTTGTTGCATATTTTGGGAATCTACAGATCGATTGTGGCGGTGTTTAACTCATGCTTAGAAACAAATTCTCTCACTGCGGCAAATTTGGGTGACTACACCCGATCTCTCCTTACACAACCAATCACTAAGAAAAACTAAAATATATATTTTTCGACAAGTACAGAACAGAGGAGATAGGGGGTTGAGAGTGAAGCAATGGCGGTCCTAGTAGGCGTGATTGGAGACGAAGTTTGATTTCTGTCCAGCGGCGAGTTCCAGGTTGCCATCGAAGGTGCCAAGAGTGGCTTCGCTGTTGGCCTGGAAAACAAGACAGCATGCGAGACGGATTGTGTAATTTGCAGCAACTCAGCAAAGAGCACAACTTCGACTCACTTTAGCCAGTTTCAAGAGCTCATTCTGAGCAGCCGTCACGTTCTCGGGTTTGCCTTGCCAGGTTTGAATGACCGACGCCTGGAGGGCTCTGCCGAAGCTGAACGACAGCGCCCACGGCTTCTTCATCTTCGCCTTGTTGATGGCGTCCAGGTTCAGGGTGGCGTCCAGCTCAGACATACCGCCTGAGAGGAAGACAATACCAGGCACGGCGGCTGGAACGGTTCGTTGAAGGGTCTGGATCGTTGCCATGGCATTCTGCTCCTTCGTGTACTTCTGGCTACACGAGTGGCCAGCGGTCACCATGTTGGGTTTGAGCAGTGTGCCTTCGAGGAAGACGTGGTGGTCTGCTAGAGCCTTGTACTGGAAGGCCAGCACCTCTTCAGTGACCCTTTGCGCGACGTAGAGGTCGTGGTTTCCATCTGGCAGAACCTCCGGCTCGACAATTGGCACAATGCCATTCTAGGAAGTACGTATACACAAACACGCAAATCTAGCCTACTTGTTGGCAAATCACGGCGTAGCGCGCCAAAACGTTGGCGTTTTCCAACATCGCCAAGTAGGACGGTGTGTGCTCCTGGATTTTAAGAACACAACGCCACTTCGCGAAGTGACACCCGTCTTTCTTGTACTGCGCACAGCGTTCGCTCAGGCCGTCAAGACCCTGTGTTGTGCCTTCATTGTGAGTTCCGGCCAGAGGAACAACACCAGTGTCAACTTTGATGCCCGGAATGATTCCACGATCCTATTGACTTTAGCGGATTGAACGCACAGAACCTACCTGCAGCAGACGAACTAGTGGTGTACCATCGTTGGTCTTTTGGTAGACTGTGTCGTGAAACAGAATGACACCGGAAATGTACTTTGCCAGGCATGGGTCGGTGCTGAAGAGCAGTTGACGGTAATCTCGGCGGTTCTCCTCGGTGTTTTCTAGGTTTATGGACTTGAAACGCTTGCCGATGGTTGGTACACTCTCGTCAGCAGCTAGAATACCCTTACCAGGGCTGACAATCGCGTTGGCGATGTCACGAAGCTCCTTCAGCTTGGGCTCCGGCAAGTACTCGGCAAAGCGTCCCGCCATCTCAGCTTTGGTTGGTTTTTTTGGGTCGGCGAACGGTGGCTTTTGAATTACCCAATAAGTTATCGATCGCGCCATGTGCAAATCACGTGACTGCGCGAATGTCAGTGGAAATGTTTCGATTGGTCTAGCTAGTGCCATTTTGTAATTCTTGAAGATATTTTGACGTTTCGGACGGCAAACTTGTAAAACGCGAAAATCAAACATGTAGTTTTTGAAAGTTTATCAATTAATCACCTGCGCTTAATCGAGAAATTACTCAAAAATTGCAAAAATGTCAACTTATAGCTAAATTAACAAGGTAATTAGCCTTTAGTGGGAAAAAGTCATTGTTGGCCATTTTAATAAATGCTGATTCACGATTCCAAGATGCAGTAACGCTGAGGGTACTTGGGAAGCTTCATAAAATCAATTAATCATTCGCATGCAATTTAGATACTGTGGGGGAGCAAATTTTCGGAGTCAAAATTTCTTGGCCACTTCAAATTTTTCGACGTCCCAGCCCGACTTTACAAATGTTGAACACTCAAGCATACTTATTTGTAAATAAGTACCGTAATTTGTGCGAAATAATTTTTGACGACAGCACTACTGGTTGACAAAGTTCGGGGCAGTGTTTTGTTTGTGTCAGTTGACGGCACAAGTGCTCCACTTACGCACACTTTTCATAAATTAGGGTTTCAGTTCATCACGCTGTACAGTCATGCACTAAACCTCACTCAGTTCGTGAAAATCGATAGTTATTTTTTGTAAAAAAATATGCAAATCCCATATTCAAAATAAGGATGGGATTCTGTTACTAAGACAAGCAAAACGGGTCAACTTTGTTTCGAGAAACAACGCTTTTATTACTGGTCCTGATTGATGAAACAGGGGGAATACAGTTTTCTGTGTAGGCCATTTAAACAACCAGAGACAAGGGACTGGTTGACCTCGGCGTGATCCAATATGCCTGCGCCCTAATACGACATTACACTCATCTGTAGAATACCCGGGCCCTGGTACGAAGAAGACCGGCAAAACAGAACAGGCTCTATTGACCAATTACAAGCCAGAACCACACATCAGGAGCGGTTCATCCGAGCCCACCACGCTGGCCACGCCGCTCAATATATACTGCACCTCATTCGTGTCTTTCTCTGGTTGGCTGCCTATCTTCCTACAGAGAGACAGAGGATCGGCTGAGGCCAACGTGGTCCAATATGCCTCCGCCCTTATACGTCGCTACACATCTACTCCACGATTGGATGAATTTTCCCTTCCCCGAATTGGCCGATTCAATATCGTGTCAAAAACTCACATCAACTTTCACAAGTGAGCAGAATTATCGATTTGATCGGCAAGCGCGTGTGCAAAAATCGATAAACTCACAGTCAATCGATGTAACTCGATTTGCCGCAAAAAATCTTTTAAGATCAAACTTCCCCACACCTTTTTGTTGGCTTCCGACGACAAATTAGAAGCTAAAGTTAGTGGGAGGTTGAAAGTCCGGAATTTTGCTAAATCCCGGTCTATTTCATTACACGACTATCGTGCACTGAAATTTCCGTTCCCAAATACTATCACACCGGCGAGTTAATGCAAAGTTTGTCACAGCCGCTGACCTTGGAACAATGCAAACTCCCACGTACAGCCAAATTTGTGAAGGGTAAGTCGCTACCCTCCTATGCCACCAGAATGGCTCTAGTGAGTAGCACTGATTCACGTCCAGTAAAGGCGTCGTCTACCTCATTGACCTCCTTCTCAGCGTGTCCTAATCGATCTTGCAGCCCATTTCATTCATTTATTAATCGGCTATTTGTACTTTTTACGGGGTCACCCAGGCTGTATTGATTCACGGGCCTACTCAAACAGACACTCATTTTTATTCGTAGAACTATCTCTGGTTGACCTTCGCGTCTGTCATTTGTCTTGTTGATTTTCGGAGGTATAGAGGACAAGTGACCACCCAATCACGTTCAACTAGGTGGGATTATAGCCAGTACGCTAAACCTCCGTTTCCTCATATTGGCTGAACCGAACTGAGAACATGAAACTAAACCACGCAGCAGGAACTGCCACCAGGGTGGGGCAGGAGGTACCAGCTCATGTCTCGCACTCTAGTCCTAGGTTTATCGATCACGTCTGCACACCCCACGTCACCCTAAAGTCGGCTCATGCAAACCACCCACGGTTTATCGATCACGTCTGCACACTCCACCCTCCCCCCTGTCTGCTCTATCACCCAAGCGCTATTGATTAGGGCCGCTGTCAGACACCGTCGGCCTCCCCCTCCCAGTGCACGTCTACAACTTGCAAACAGACTCAAACTCGGCCGACTTGCCCGCATAAACTGTCACGCCTCCGCGTTCGCCACCACAGACAGTCAAACAAGAGAAGCCACTCATTCAATGCGAAACTCTATATATGTATATAAGGTATGTGTAGATAATTAAAGGCACTAGAGAAATAATGAATGAGTTGGCTATCGCGTGGTCGGCAAGGCCTCACCGCGTGATATTCTTCTTGGAAAACGACAGAAGGGCTGTTAGATAGAAAATCGGAGTGGGTGGGGGTTGGGAAGGGGAGCGGGGGTAAATACACAAATAAGAGGGGTCAAGGAATGCCAGATTGGGGTGTCACACACCGCGACTGCAGCAGGTGGTAGAAAAAAAAGGGTGCGCGTGGTGGGGGTGGGGGATCTGCGACGGTCGCGGTGGGTGAGGGGACGACGAAAGACTCGGACACACACAGACGGCACCGCACCGCACCGGGACTCGAGCGCAGGCCCCTACGGAGCCCCCAACGGGATGGGCTCGGAGGAGACCGGTTGCTGCTGCTGTTGCTGTGCATCCCCTCCTGTCCTGTTGTCGCCAGCGGCCGCGTCCTCGTCCGACTCCTAAAGCCAAGAAACAGGAGTTAGCCAGGGGCGTATAGATTCGACAATTATGCAGGGCCTATTAGGGAGAGTGATTCACAGCATCCTAGTACGTCCACCCAGGGATCTTCAAAAGGAAGTAGTCTAAACCGGTCGGGTTCAACGCCGAGAGAAGATCGCGTCAACTCAAACACAACGAGGCGCACACAGTTTTCAGCAAGATTAGTTAACTTTAAAAAAAATTAACTGTCAATCCACGGAGGCGTTCTGTGTGGTGAATATGCCGCGTGTGGGAGAACTCCCCATCCCAAGTTCAAGAGGGTCTACTGAGTCGCGCGAGCAACGTGAGGTGGTCGAGCGTTGTCATGCGGCAGTAGCAACAGTAATATGACTCGTCCGCTTCCTGGCCCAGTAAATGGTCTTTCCTGATCAATTTCTTCACTCAGTTTGTTCAATTTACGGCTGTAGCGCTCCGCAGGCACCGTCTGACGACCAGTTTCCAGTCCTGTGTCGGCGTCGATGTACTACTGGATCACCCGGGACTCACCCACGACTTTTATTTGTCATAGTTTTCCCCAAGAAGTCATTTTTTGTTTTACCGACGAGTAATCATTGATTGGCATGTGCTTGTACGTTGACCTCGGAGGCTGTGTTCGGCCAACACATGTGGGGGGACCCAACTTCCAAGTTGCTACATTTTTCCCGTTTAGTGGTGGAAACGCTTGAAAATGGCGGTTTGGTTAACTCCTAACTGAGCTGCAAGCTCTTGAAGCGTTTGCATTGAGTTTTCAGTCAGTAGAGCTGGCAATTCCGCATCTTCAAACTATCTTCTAAAACGTTTGTACCAATAACTACACGTTTCATGGGCGACACAACGTCGGCACCAAGAACACCGCAAATTGATTCCCGTGCTTTAGAATCATCGATTGTTCTGTTTATCAGTTGCCGTCGTAAATTCTGCTATTCTGAGGGGTTGCGTAACTCACATGGACTTGTCATTCGGTGTTCGGAAACCTTGTGCGCGATGCTTCCAAAATCACAGAGACCGCGAAATTACCTCATACGCCCAGTACGCGCCCTAATCACAAAATGAGTCATCGGTCCACTTCCAGTAAAACACATCCATAGACGGTCACAGCGTACCAGTAACGTGTTTTGTAGTAGTCATACTATAGGTAGACCACGCACACTTCGGAAGATGTGACGAAACAGACATCAACTCCACGTCTCGAAGCTACGGCTCAGAAAATCGATAATGGATCAGGGTGAACACCCCGACTTGATTTGTATCTTAAAATGTTCCGCGTTTCCTGCGAAAATCCGACCGCCACCATATTTGACATCCCCTCGAGGGCACCAGGCACTCGACTGACGGCTTTGTGTGGATTTTGTCGCGGAGTTTACGCCAAAACAACAGCCGAATGTCTATGATCTAAGCAACAGTCCTGCGAAATCCGGGGTTTCACAGGACTGATAATTCGGAAGCCACGCTTAAAGTTTTCCAACTGCCTTGGAAAAGCACAATCAGGAAAGTGCGTCACAAACAATCGCGCTGCAGCTCTAGAATGACTCAATGAGCTCATATGAGCTCACTCACGTACCACTTGGCAAACCACACATATGTTGCACAGAACACACGCATCTTGACTACTGTAGAGCCGCATCCTCACAAAAGAGAATCGCGCTCTCCCTCATTCACACAGGTGATGGCACCTGTGTGTCAAAGAAATCAACGCGCCCTGCATATAGAACTGCATGCACCTCAGGTATGTGATCGAAAAGCCTTTGATGTGGATGGACCGAAAGGCGATGTGATTTCGCGCTTGAAACCGACCTGAGTCGTTGTGTTTCCAGGGAGACTGAACAACAATTAACAGATGCTAAATTGACGTTTACCGTGAATCGTATTGATAAGCGCCTTAGGGACTAAGCGAGCGTAACCTGCGCGCTGAGTTCATCTTAAAAACACAACGGAGTAAAAACGCCTTTTAACGACACAAAACTGGACTCCGTATGACCGATCAGTGCAATAACAAGGTATGTGGGATTCAATACGACAACAAGTTACTTAGAAATCACCCACGAATCGGGGAGAGCAGAGTATAACCAAGAACTACGTGTAGGCACCCACGAAGAATGCTAGCGGCCCGCACAGAAAGACTTATCAGCGTTTTTGCACATGTCGTGAATAAGTGTGGAGTACAAAGCCAGTAGGTGAGGAAGACTGAGGCGTCATTCTTACTAAAGCATCACTAATAGGTGTAAGCGGTAGTCAGGACAAGAGAGTTAAGCTGAGTTGTTTGATAATAAACAATTCCGAGAAATACGTCGATACGCACGCAAAGAAACTGGGAAACTACGCTTCCGCATCGTAAAAAGGTCGATGTCTCAACCATAAAGCCACTTATTTTTAACAATTCCTGCATAACCACCCAGGTTACTTGCTAATTACGATAATGTTAACGACATTTCTATGTGTCGCCAACTGATTGAGCCAACAAGATCAAACGACGGCATTCACGATTGCGGATAATTTAGACACGATTGCTTCAAAACATTTTCGCATCAACAAGACATTGACCAGCTTCTAGAAACGTGCAGTTAATAGACGCACTTATGTTACAAACACTGCACAGCAATTGTGTCCATCAGTTGTAGAAAACAACCTTGGAACGAATGATACACTAACCTGGTAAAAGATATGTTGAAGGAAGAAAAACCTACTATTTGAATTTAACCAGGTTAACCTGTTACATAAACCTAGGGTTATCGATTACTGAATCTACTTTGCAGGCGATTTATTAACAAATTTGTTAGTCGATTGGCAAAAGAACCTAGCACCTAAAGCCCAATTTAGAAGTAAAATCCGTGTCCTGGCAACCTAGATAAAAGTACACTAAAAAGAATACAAAGAAAATAGAACTGTTAACTAATGTTTCTGCGGCATATTGAAAACAATAATTAAAAACACTTAAAGACAGGAATTCGATTAATGAACGATTATTTTCACTGATCACTGCACACAAAGCCTAGCACGAACAGCTTACATTATTTTGTCAAAAATGGATGACACTTACAGGCGGTATATCCATATACTCTTCGTAATCTTCGGGCATTTTTCGACAGCAGGCGCAACAGAAACAGCAACAAAAACAGCAGCAACAGCCCGTTAAGAAGAAACATGACAAAAAGAGGCACTAGAAAGCAAATATCACTATTAAATGATTCATTTAAGTACAAAAATAATAAATTTTAAAAAAATGTTACCTTCAGGCAAGGATTTGTTAAAGGTAGATACATCATGGCCGTCTCATCACCCAATTTCTCGCTGATATATATGCCATAAGACCCATATTTGTCGTATATTTGCTTTTTAGTGTCATCGGTTAATATCATGTTAGCACGATTTAGTTCAGCAAACTAAATTCATGAAAAAAAAATGAATTTACCTTCTCTCCTGCTTTTGGATCACCTGGATTTTTGTCTGGATGACAGCGAAGTGCCAACTACAAATATGAGCTCTGTAAAAACGGTATACCTTCCTATAAGCCTTCCTAATTTCCTCGGGTGTCGCATCTTTAGATATTCCAAGTAATTCGTACAAGGAATTCCCTTTCGTTCTAACAAAAGGCCTTAAAGCTACGCACACAGGAGACTTACGAGAGTTTCCTGGGGTCACGAACACTCGCACGGCTATGGCCGCTTGCTGCACCAGGACTTGCGGGGGGAGGAACTGACATCTACAGAAATACAGCAACTCTTTCGAAAGATCGCCAGGCGAACAGCTGTCCAAAACAAATTAAATCAACGTAAAATTAAGTGTTCATAATTTCGTACTTAAGTGGTTGAGTTCATCAAGACTAAAAAATTTAACAAGAATCACGTGAATATAAGTACTTTAATACCACTATAATGTTTCTGTCAGCATGTGGGAAAATGTGGAAATTTGAACATATTTTAGTAAACAACTTATTATTTCTAAAATTAAATTATTATTCGTTTTGATTATCTTACATTTTGATTCGATTAAACATTTGGCTGCATTAAAAAACACTAAAGACCCTTACTGTCATCCACAAAATAAAAGACCATTCTAGAGATTTAGGACGTCGCGACTCTATGATACTCTTGTCTTCCTTTTGGTTCCCTGAACACAAGCTAAGGGTCTTTTCGGGGGACTTTCCTTATTCTAGGCTAGAAATCAAGCGATTCAATAAGACACAGCAAATCCCACTTGTCTTGCCGACTTAAAAAATAAGATGTTTTTTTCTGCATTACGAATCAGGCATTCTGAACAGGAACACTACAATTGATTTTTGATCCATGCCACTTATTAAAGTTCGGATTTTAGTCAATTGGAGAAAAGGGTGAACAGGACAATGGATGCATATTACTAAACATTGTGCGTAATTTCGTGATCACATCCACTAATTAATATTGAAAAGTTTTAAAAACCACCAATTTGTTAATGAGTTTCCATTTGCCAGCCGGATATCTTTATCCGGAATGATTTCTCATTGCCTTTTGGTGAAAGTAATAATCAAGCCTTCGTCTCACTAGTTAGTCTTTTTTTTGGAATGGAAACAGAGATGGCAGCCAGAGCATCTCATCCTACCTTTCCGGCAGTAGAAATGACTTTGAAGCCGTGAACAGTTTTGCTAGTAAGCCGACCTTGCCCTTGATTTATTTATTATAGCGTAATCACAAGGTGTCTGCATTTTCATCAAATTTGGTAGCTCGAGAGAAATTACATAGCCTTTTGTGTCACATGGTGCAGCAGTGGAACTCATTGCATAGCCCTGCAAATTTGTTCGGATTATTGCGATTATTAAATGAATCTGAATTACGTGAAAATTCAATGTACTGGATTGGTTACTTTCGTCGGTTTGGTGTGTGATTGTTTTCTTCGAGTCTGCGTTTGCCTCAGGCCCTGTTCATGGCGTAAGCGATATTTGTGCCCATTTAGTGGTTGTATTAACTGAAAATATATTATTTAACAATTATTAACCTTTTCGACACAAGGTGACGGTGTTCTGTCTTGGAAAATCTCGCATATCTAGATTTATTTACTTGGCAATTTTGAGTTTTGGGAGCATTATTACCAAAAATTTCGTCTAATATTGACATTTTCTGCCACATGTGTTTCTATCGACCCTTGTATAATGTTTTCCAGCTCGAGTTCCAACTAGCCTTTCACCCATTTTTCTACGACTTATTATTTTCTGCTTCTTGCAGGTACGCTTGGCCATTGTTCTCTTAAGTCACAACGGGCGTTCAGCGTGCTAAGGCATCGAAAATAATTCAAATTGTTTTGCATGAGGTCCTAATGCTTTGTGGCACTATAGCGGTAATATTGACTATTAGTACGGGTTTTGTGAGTTTCATCGACATCACATCAAGGTAGTAATGCATTATTAAACTCGAGAATTTGTTCATATTAGTCTCTAATCAACACGTGTCCTGTGATTACTCGACTCAAGTGCATTAAAGTTATGCTGCATTAGGAACCATGTCAGTGCAATGTTAATCGATGGTTTAATAACCTCGTCCATTTCTTGTCACTTTGTGCCTAGATGTCTTCACCTCAGGAAGAACAGAATAGTGAAATTGAGGTGCTAGCCTCTATCTACGAGGGCAGTTTTCGTCAACTTTCTCCTAATCCACCTCATCACTTCGAGATTGACGTCAAAGGACATGCTACGGATAATCCGGAAACTGCGGTTACATGTACGCTCTTTTTCAAATATTCCCCCAAATACCCGTTGGAAGCTCCTCTTTTTGAGATCCGTCGTCCAATAGGACTGTCAGATGATCAAAACTTCGAACTTGTTATACTTATTTCCGACGTCATTCAGCGGTCAATTGGCACGGTGATGATCTTTGACATTGTCTCAGAGGTTCAGCAGAAGTTGGATGAATTCTCAGATGAAGCTATCAATCAGGTAAAGGCGCAAAAGGAGAAGAATGCACGCCTAAAGTCTCTGGCTGAAGCTGAGGCAGAAAAGCGAGTATTTTCGGGTACCCGTGTGACCGTGGAATCATTTAACAATTGGAATCGAAATTTTATGGCAGAAATGAAAGCAAAGAAAGAGGCCGAAGAAGAGAAGAACAAGAAGCTACCTGGCGGTCAGACTGCTGTCTCTGTGAAACGGCTAACTGGCCGTGAAATGTTCCTCCGTGATAACCAGTTTGATGATTCAGATCTGACATTCCTGGCACAGGAAGGAGGCGAGATTGTCGAGGTTGACGAGAAGCTCTTTGTTGATATTGGTGATATTGATCTTGATGATCTGGAGGACGATGAGTTGGAAGCCAAAGACCAACCCGCTGCTGCCACTACCTAGCGTTCAAGTACAGCATAAACTAGCTATTTTACCTTGCTTATACACTTGCAACTTAATTTAGCTCACAGGAAGACAGCTTTTGTATGTAAAGTTGATTCAAGATTATTTGAGACCTCTTCATCACGAAGACTTATTATTAGGTCAGTGGGATCAACTTTTGAGTTGACGGGGAATCATCGGCTTGTTATGAATGCAGCTTTGCCGGCCCAGCCTGTTTTGCGAAAACGGCTTAGCAAAATCACGTCAGTTTTGCCTAGATGTGTTTTTTTTTAAATACGGAAAGTGAGTCGAGCCTGGTCGGCTTGTGCTACTGCACAACAAATCGAGGGCAGAGGTGGTGGGGGCAGTGTTGTTCGTATTGTCGTGAGGCACCTCCACTTAAAAGTCAGCAGGTATCAAATTAACTTCGAGTTTGAAGGTGGCACAGATCCCAAGACACCACTGGGAGGCTATTATTGTAACTATCAAGCACTGCTGTTGGTATCAAGGCAGAGCTAGTCCACTTCGACAATATCCTGAATATGGCTAATTCCAACTGGGGATTGTAGCAATTTATGACTAGGACGTAGAGCCCCAATTCCTTGTGGGCTTCTGATGGTTCGTTTTCTACGGAATAGCGTTCATGTTTAACCAAGTTGGATGTGGCTGGATCGGGGCTTTGAGTGCGGTATTATTGAAGTGACGTACCAGCTTTTATTTAAGTTGTTCGGCAAGGCAGTTTCTCATTGTCAGGAATCGTGGTCCGATATCCCACGCACCGAAAGTGATCAAAGCGTTTACCTGATTATAGTTTGAGTGAGGCTTAGAGGACTCTGACACAGTCTTAATCCTAGGCAAAACTTCTGCATAACATTGACCGGTGCTAAAAGCTTCTTTGTCGGACCAATTTGGCGATCATGGAGGGCCTTTGTTAAAGACACTTAAAATTACTACAGTAAAGCAGCATTTTCTAGTAACGAGGATAGCAAGTGCGTTCTCACTTAATGTAAATTGGTGGGAAGGGGATGTACAAGCATTGTATCCTCCCCAAACAACTCAAGTAACAAATTAGCCAATGAGGACAGACGGTAACACGCTAGGGGGCAAGAACAAAGATATAACTCAGGTAAACCACAACAGCTTTGCATATGGCGGAAACGCAGGGCTTGACACCCCATAGATCCTATTCTAACCCGCTTCAGTCCAATCCATACAGCCACTACTAAACTTAAACGGATAATAACCTGTCCCAACATCACCAATTGGATTTTACACTAAAGCCCGCATAAAAAGATCAAAACAGGGCAGAGTGTACTTGTAAATATACAGCCGTAAAGAAACACAGAGAGAGAGAGAAACGCGTGTGATAGAAGTGGGTGCAATTGTGCGAATGTAGTCAAGTTAGTAAAACGCAAATGATCACTGTCAGTGATCCGAAACACTAAATCATCGTGCAACCACGCCATAACCACGCTGAAAGAGTTGGTCAGAAAAAAAAGAGAGAGATGAGCGATTGGTTCGGAAGCTGCCTGCACTGAGAGCGATGCCAAGGTGTGCCCAACGCGAACCCTCAGAGGTACGGGGTCATCCCCTGGTCTCGGTTGGTATCCTTCGGGCAGTAGAAAAACTCGATTTTCCAGAAACAAAACACAAACGATTAAAGGCGTCGAGAAAACTAACGTTCTTCTCAACTGCGAACCCAATTAGAAGCTTGGAGAGCCGGCACTAGTGAAACATCAAATTGATCGACTCGGAGTTTCGACTTTGTAAGTGTGGATTAGCAGGACAATTCGACGAGTCGGTAGAAAGACCTCACACTTTCGACTACACAACTGGTCGCATGAGCGGCAGGAGATTATTTGCATGACGTAGATGAAGAACAGGCAGGTGACTGTCCAGCTTGCTTATCATCAACGGAACGTGCGGCGGGTGGTGGCAGCAAAGGTTTGACTGTCGGATCAACTGTACATGCGCCATGTCCGATTTGGGTTGCCGTGTCTTCCAATTCATCCAGAACCCAAACGCCAAACCTCTTAAAGAGACCAAGATATTTCAGGTGATTATCAATTGCTGTGTATGAAACACTGAGCTTCTCAGCAATCTCCCGTACAGTTATTCGGCGATTAGATTTAATTAAATCTATGATTTTCTGATTATCGACTTCAGAAGGTCGACCGGAACGCCGCTTGTCCTTGAGAGAGAAATCACCAGAACGGAACTTTTTAAACCAATTCTGACACGTGTTTTCAGTAATGCAATCGGACCCATACACTTCACATATCGCCTTATGAGCTTCAGCAGCTTTCCTGCCTTTAATGAAATAAAACAGCAAAATAAAACGAAGACGCCTTTTTTTACTCTCCATGTGCAGTGTGTAGTGTGGTGTAGCGTGGTGTGGTGTGGCGTCGGATCAGGGCGCAGACATGTTGGACCACCTGGCCTCAGCCAATCCCGTGTCTCTCTGCGATC